ATATAAGATGTTGTTTCCAGTACACGATTCTAACTTCATGTAATTTTAATAATAAAATAGTATTAGTCAACGATAGTTCATAGATAGTTAAACTAAAACACATTAAGGCATTACTCTTAGTCGCCGGTTTAGGATAGTAGTCTGGGATGCCAAAAAACATACCTGTAAGCAATACAAAAAATATTTCGAACATGTTATCCTAAAAACTGTAGACAAATATCGTGTAGAATTTGATGTAAGCAATTGATAATAACAAAAAAATTAATAAAAGCATCATTATGATAATGGAACTCATCTTTACATCACGCTATAGAACATCTCGCAATTCGCGAAAACTGAAGCCGCGATTTTTATGAGCCTCTTTCAAAGTAAGCTAAGTAACTGCTAAGAGGTTTCTGCAGAGAGCAAATGTTAATCGAACGCGCAAAGTACGGGTTGTACCGTGAGTGCATTAAACTTTCTCAAAGATTCCCTCCCAATCTTTATCAAACGTTTAAAATCCCTAAACGCGATATCAATCGATATCAATCTTTTAAAATATAGCACGGTTTGGCTTGCGTGTAAGCATCTATTCACAGATGAAAATTCGAATTTTAAATTTCAAGGTTCAGATTTCTATTTTCATTTTTACGGCAATCAGAGCGCTACCAACAATCGATAGCCGACAGACGAACACTGGCAGCTTGTTTTGGCTCCATTGGATTAGAAGGCCTAGAAGATATGTAATCGGTGGATTTGCTGATCTTTTTGGACGGTTAATGCAGAAACTAAACGAGTAAAATGGCTGTAGGATTGGAGTGGTCCGATTCAAACCATTTTTAATAGCGTTTTTCCTCCGGGGAATATTTACATCAGTTGAACGCAGTAACGCAAGGTGAACAGCCGGACAAGTTGAAATTGTTTCAGAAGTGATTCTGAATCGATCGGCATAATAAAAGTTGGGGCTACCTCAAAACCTTCCGCGCAAACCTTCTTGTACCACAAGGTGTGTAGAATATAAAAAATATAATTTATTTTTCATTTAAAAAATGTTATCGCTCGGCATGAGTAGGCTAGACCTCAATGGTCTTTCAAATGCGATAGAGTTGTCATCTTAGAAGGCCTACGATTTTTATAAATTAATTTATTTACAAAGTATATAGACAATGAATAAATAAAAAATATTCCCAAAATTCATCAAATCCGTCTCTGCGCTGTGCGTAAGTGAGTTAAACTTGAAAGTCTTTTTATTCGTTTCTTGATTGTTCTCCATACATTGCATAATCGAGTAATGTAAATACTCGATTTATATTAAAAGCCAATGCAGGGTTAATTAGCAACTGATTAACATAATAACGTTTTTATGGTATTTAAATGAATGAATTCATTCATTTGTAATTATAATATGCTTTGGATATAATAAAAAAATAAAAATGTTTATTCGCGCCCTACGAGTATGTCTTTTTAAAAATGAAATTAAATGAAAACCAATTTTAAAAAAAGTGATCATGACCATAAAACAATTTAAACGAAATAATCACATTTCAGCTGTCTGGCATTAATAGACAAAGAAATAAAAATTATAATAATAAAACACTCATTATACCATCTATCAACATGACTTTAGAATTTATTTTAATTATGCATTTATTACAAAGCAAAGCAGCAGGCGCTTAGACATTCTCTTCAACAATTATGCATTAAATATTATCTCAGGTATTTGTTTGTAATAAATCTTTCACAATATGACAAAAACAATATTAATTTAATAGGAAAAAAAAAAAAGATCTTAATAAAAAAAGAGAATTTTTTGTTTTACAAATATAAAAAGCAATTAAAACATTCTGATACTACAATGTAAACCAAACAAGTTTTAATTAGAATAAGTAACTGTTTAGTAAATGTTAAAACACACCCACGCATTTCTACTATTTTCAGATCACATTCTAACAAATGGCTCAATTTTATTGCGGCCAGCACCACAAGCGGGTACATAAAATTTGTCAACTATTTGTAAAACAGATCGCATAACACAATCTGTTCAGTTATTATCCCTCTAATGGTCCGTCTTTTGAAGATTCGTTTACAATTTTCAAGGTTACTTAGCAAAAAAAACTTATGAAATGCTTACAAAATTTCCAAATGCCAACAAAAATTCGAGTTGTAATAAATATTTATTCCCTTCCCCTTTGGAAACTACATCCATCCTTCATCCATCAAAGCACAGTAAACATTGCGCAGCAAAAAAAAAAACAGATCACATACTCCGGTTAATCAAGTCCGAAGGTTCAAAGACCACATAACCAGTTCGATAAGTGTACCCTCGTATTACCCTAGAAGTGGTAGGTCCTATTTTCTGATGTTTTTAATTATTAAACGCTCTTGGTTTCCAAAGCCGCTATCGCGTATTCGGGTTTTACGAATTGCTAAGGCAAGTATTTGCTAAGATACGTTTCGAGCAGACACAGAATTTATTAGGTTGGTCTCTTCCTAATGATTTTATGTAGATTGCTCCTAGACAAGTTTCGTTCGTTATTCGTAGCAAAGATATTTTAAACGCTTTCTCGACAAATTGAGTCGGATTTGTTTTTAACACCAATTAAAAATGCTTTGAATGCAAGAGAAAGTGCTGATAAGTTATTTTGTGCCTTGGATGCGCTATAATATTCAAAATTTAAATAACCATGATTTTCTTGATTTTCAGCATCACGAACTTCAGCCCCATGTGGCAAAAGCCGCCTAGGAATCCTTACCAGGAAAGTGCTAAGCTCCTACGTTTTTATCAGCACAGACATTACTTCTTTCGATTAAAGCGGGTTTTAATAGATGAGCTTTTCTTTACTTAAATGGTGTTTCGGTTCTTATGCCCGGGACATAAACAAGGATTCCTTTGGGAATAGCCTTGAAAGCTGAGACATTTTCCCGAGACAGAAATCGACAATTTGTCAAGAGCTGAGACAAGACTTTCATTAGTTTGTTCATTCATTTTGTCCTAAAATAAACTGACTTTGGCGCACAAGAAAAACGGACCGAACTAATTTTTACTCCCAATATAGACAAACAAATCATATTAGTTTGTGTGTAATTTGCTATTGCTTACTCCAAGTATTTACAACTTTTTCATAATAATATTAATTTGGCTAAAATACGCGCTCAGTTGTTAGTTTTATTATTTTCGTCAAGCAAAACGTTTTCAAATAGCATTGCTGCACATGTGTCAATTATATGCACAAAGCTGAAATGCGATATAATGTTGAGTGGGTCATAAATATGATGAAATAGTAGATGGAAAGTGTGCTGAGTTTATTGCCCTCTATGTAAGCAAGCTACAATACATGACTAGAAGTTACGTATAGTATATAAAAAAGGTTTAAAAAAAACTCGTTACTTTTTTAATTACAATCACTATAATAAGCCGTTTTTGACAAAAATACTTTTACATTATTGAATGTTTTTTTTTTTTTTTTTTTTGTGAAAAAAGGTGGGAGCGGAGGTTTTTATAGCGGAAAGTATATGTAAGTTTCGTTATATTTTTTCTTTCCTGTTTATTCTGTTATATATTTGTAAAGCGTAGAACAATAACTTTGAGTTTGCACAAGACTTATTAACGTTATTTCCAATCATCAAGTAGAGTATTGGTTTCCTCCAATTTTGTTGAATAATATCTTACATTTTTTTTAAGTGCTCTCTTCAAAACCCAGGAACGGTCGAGGAAGACTGGCCGACAAACTTTACACAGTTTCGTCTAATACAGTCATTGATATTAAAAATTATACATTATTTTCATGTACAGGCAGGCATACTTTCCATGGAACCCGTTATATTGAAGAACACCCACAAAAAAGGTCAAACGGCCTGATCCGAATTTGTCAAGTTTGACTTTGTTGCTAAATTCTGTTTTCATACTAGAAAGCTACAAATTTGACTTGAACGCCGAAAGAGGATTTACTCTTCCTGGGAACACTTAGATGTGGTTGCGTCTAAAAAATAGACTTATGTGCTTCCAATACCTTACGTTTAATTTTTGTGCCAAAATGCTATAATATTAGGGATCAAATTTTATTATGAGAATCGTTATATAAAATGGGGTAAGAAAATGGTTCAAATGCTAGCCTGAGAATTGGCGGAAATTGTAGCTCGCATCCCATGTCTGAATAGCTTTTAGAAATTGTTGACAAATTACATTTTCCTTTAATTGATACGTACAAAAGTATCGATGATGTTATCCTAAACGATGTGTTGGAATTTTTGAAAAGATATACGAAACAGTTGTATGTTAAAGTACTGATGCAAAGTAATCAGATTGAAGAGTCACAATATTGAATTGTGGTAATATTAAAAAATCTGAACATCTTGTGATGCGTACAATGCAATTACCGCAAGGTCACTGAAAATTCGAAAATAAGGACAAAAGACTGAAAATGATTTATCAATAAAATCAAAACAGTGAAGAACAAGGTCTTAAAAAAGATTGAAATTTTTCGTTAGATGGCCAGAGTCTAAAGCAGATATCGATATAAAATCATTAACAAATAACATATTACTCAATCTATTCAGGTATCAACCTTTAAGCGATATATCTTGAAATTTTATAACATGCCGATCATTAATTTGCAAGTTATAGTTGCCTTAGTGCTCAGCGTTACACACGAAATTCAGCTTTTTTCCATCGTTTTACGAAAAGAAAACTAGTGTCACCAAAAACTGTGAGGTTGTGCGCCGATAGTTGATGCTATCGTGATCACCTAGACGTAAGTCTGCGAACTGGTATTTATCCGCCGAGTAGTATTTTTGTCCAATTAAAAGAATGCAGTTATGGCAAGTATTTGATATCATTACATTTGCAAATATGATATAAATGCATTTACAAGTCCATGTAAAACATTTAAATATTAAATTTTGCCTTGATAATTACATTCTAAATAATTCTTGAGTTAAAGATAAGATATAAATAACATATTATTATCTTAATGTATGTACTGATGTTATATTATAATATTTGTTTATTTCTCTTCTTACAGGTTAGTATCGAGTCTTGTCTTAAGAAGAACAATTTCTGCTTATACCTAATTTTATGGGGGCTGCGTAAGTAAGTTTTTTTTTTTTTTTTTCTTAATTCTTTAATATTATTAGATCTGTGCAATGCCTTCTTATGCCTTCAAAACATATATCTGCGCGTTTATAAAAGATTGTAATGTAGTAGGCATTGACACGAAAATAGCAAAATGAAAATCAAGCAAAACGCCTTTATATATATGTATGTATATCATTACAGCTTAAATGTAACAAAGAAAATTCAAAAAAGACGAAAAAAACGAATTTGTGCACAACAAACATTTGTAAATGAAATGTACGACGACTACCTTTTCTTATGTATGCATGAAAAAATCATAATAAAAACGGAAAAAAAACTCAGTGCATATCTTCAGAAAATACATATAGGCGGAGAGGCAAGTATATAAAAGGCAAAAGCAATAGTTATGTAATTTAAATTCATTCAAGTTGCCAAAACGACGTAACACGGTATTTCGTTATTGTTAGCTATCGTGTATTCGGGAGATTGAAGCTTTATCAGCAACTGTGTTACGAAGGACCCCATGGTTATCAATGCGTTGAATGTAGCAAAGATTTCATATGATTACATAACGGTACCTATACTTATATAACGTCAATAGAGAGAATTTGATTTACTATTTTCTCTTTCATTTCATTTATCATTATCATCGTATCTAAAAAACCATAGGCCAATTTATATAGTTACGACATATACAGTTATCATGGACAAAAGAGTTTAACACATAAGTCTACGTATAGTTTGACTTAGGGGCTATTGATGTAATCGTTCGATGACAACCATACTAATCATTTTCTGCCGGAAAGAGGAACCATTTCAAAAACGAGCTGCACGGACAAAAAAATATCATTTAGCTAAAGAGATAAAAAAATCGGTGAAATTAGTATCAAAGAGTTTTTATTTAATCTTACAAAGAGCAAACGTCGGGCAGGTTGACAATCGAAACTTTAGGCAGTTGAGAAAGGAGCCCTTTTCATTCTGCCCGACTGTTAAACCTTTACGCAGTGAAAACAGTTTGATGCTAATTCTTTCGTCTAATGGCATTAGATGATGTTCAGGACAAATAAAATCGCTAGATTTTTGAATAGCTTGACTTAAAATCGGAAAAGATTTTCCAAACGGAGGTTCTTGAGATTAATTGCCGTATGTGTGTGTTTTTTTAGTTAAAATCATGTTCAGTTTTTCAAATCTCCACAAAGCATAGGTGAGCCAGAAAGAGAATTTCATAAGAAGTTCATAAGTTCCTATATATATATATATAACGTCTGTGTTGATAGACTCTGCATGCTCAAAATAAAATTGTAGGACGTTGATTTTAAGATCATCCTCTCTGAAAGTAATACATGATCCTTTTTGTTTGAAAATGATGTAAGTAAAGTTATGAAGTTATTTAAGGATCGCGATTAAATAGGCTTTGATAAAATATTTGTGAGCACGATACACCCATTTTACGTTTTCCCGACATTAAATCGATTTACATTTAGAATACGGTCGTTTTTGAAGCATTAGTGCAAAGATGTTTATATTTTTGATCATCTCAAATGCATTTGCACTATCATCAAAATCATCAAGGTCTGGAAATCATGCATTCATGAAATACTAAATACGGGATTTTGATTAAATCGAATGAATTTGTTTTTGAAATGGTTTTAAATACGGCTTTATATTAATGTGTACCGTTTCCCATGTTTCTTTCATTGCAACGTATTTTTTAAATATAGTCATACTGTATCGGAGGTACGCGAAGTAGTAATAGGTGCATCACATATTGTATAATTTTTGAGCTAAATATTATGTTTTTGAGGAAATTGTACTTACATCGCCTTTAAAGTTATTATCATTACTTACGTAAATTTATATTGATAAAGTGTAGGATTTTTTTTTTCGCAAATGTTTGAATGATTAGATTGTGTGAATTAAGTTTTTGTCAAACACATACTTACACCACTTTCAAAAAAAAAAAAAAAAATTTATAAATATTATTGCAGTTTTCTTGTTCCCTAAGATGAATCTTCAATATTGAGAGTCGGAGTTCTTGAATATTACGAGTTCGAATTCCGTTACATTAGAGAAGCATGCACGCCTATTACATGTTATACTAAAATCTTAGATTATATTAAATATCCATATAATACGTAGTATATGTTTCCGTTGCATTCATTAGAACATATATAATAAAACACATGTGAAGTGAGTTTCAAAAGATCAAGTCTAAGCTGAGAGCAATATTTTTCTTATATCACCTTTTCATTAAAAAAAAAACATAAATTATTTCAAAATGCGTTTAATTCGCACCTTAACTCCATTAGATAACATACATTTGATTTTAATTTAATATCAACGTTTACTGGAAATTATCGAATGTTTTCACGAATCTAAATTATTAATGGATTTTGAATTTTTATTAATATAATACTATGACTGCATACACGGGTAAGTGACTGCAATTAATATTTAACGACAGTTTTAATTAAATTGTCATTTGCTTACCATTTTCTTATAGAGTTTATTAGAGATAATATGTTTTTTTACTATAATATGCTATAAAATATATTTTATTTTATCGATTTTATTACTAAACAACAAGGCATATTATATACCGGCTGCGACCAAATCTTTCGCACTCTACGCACCACCTTTATCTAAAAAAAAAAAAAAGAAAAAAAAAGAAAACAACTTTAAAACACGAAAAAACGGAAAACGTACTATCCATTATTACGTAATAATAGACGAGCGTAGCGATTTCCTTTGTGTACAATAACCGTGGAATCACCCGCCGAATATACGTTGAAAGTTTTTGTAGTGATATTTGTTTGAGTTAATGAGCACCGAGTGAGCAAAGACGACTGGTTTCATTTTTGAAAACAGAAATGTTCTCAGTTTACACACTAAAAGCTTGTCCTTTGACCGATTTCACCCCGTTTGCAACACATACCAGCGTAAAGAATTTCCAAAAATTTTTGTCAAATCTGAAGTTGTATCTTAGTTTATGCTCTCGAGTTGATGTGTGCCATACACATTTACGTAAATGGACAGATGGGCATGCCTACATCGATTAGCTGATGTGTATGGTTTATAAGATTTCTGAAGCTCTTTTCTGGATAATGCGGACGTTGTTGTAAAATGAACGAATACATCTCTAACCATCCGCTGGTGGATATAAAAACGAACGCTTTTAATAAAATAAATCTAATTAAGACTACTTTTCGCGTTGTAAGCATAGCAACTTCTATGGAAACAGGAATGTGGCCTTACTAGCTCGAGACGAGTAATACTTAAAGTGAAAGCGAACCAAATCAAGACCAATTTCATGTATTTATAATTATTCTCAAATCAATCGGAAAGACCAGAACTTGGATTAATTTTCTCCTTCCATTGATGATAGAAGTGAGCAGTTTTTTAAGGCTGATATCTTGCATTAACTTATTAAATAATTATTAAGAACTTTGCAGTTTAAGATGAGATATATACTCTCTTGAAAATTTTACCTAAAAACTATATGTTCTTCTTCTTCTTCTGCGAGTCGTAAAAAAGGTTCAATGTGAACACGAAGAAAAACTACATGTTTGTATATAAATTTAATATATATTGTGGGAGCACAAGCACTCCTCCTTGTCTTGGTTGGCATACACAGTACATTGTTTGGAATGGATGCAATTTAGATGAATCGAAGTAGTCTTCAAATTGCGTATTTTTTCCTCACAAGACTTTGTTTCGCTTTCGTCCATAAAATTTTTCATTTTTAGTTAATACTGTCCTCACATATTAAGACTTGCAAAAGCTTCGAATTGTTTACTCGCCAATGCTCAATTTCCCAGCAATGTCATAAGATGACATGTACCGATCTTTTTCGATGAATGGAAGAAATTTATCAACGATTGCTCGACCAGAGAACGATGCGCTTTTAACAATGAAATTTTCAGAGAGAAATTAAGCAAATGATTTGTGTGCCGCTGAGTTCGATATATCAACTTCACCATAATCCTCACGAACTTTTTCATAAGCCCACGAACTCTAATCGCCTTGATCGAATGAATATTTTAAAATATGCGATTTTGACTCAAACACGATTGCTTTAGGGTAAACTAAAGCACGGTATTGTTGTTTTTTTCCTTTTTTATTTTCTTCGTTTGCAGAATGTGATCTGTCTATGGTATGGCTTGATGGAATCAGTGTTGCCGAAGTTTGCTTGCTTTCTCTTATTTATAAGAAACCTACATATCCTATGGATATGTCAGCCTACATCGATTTGCAAATGTACGCCTAATTTATATAAGAACTCAAATACATATATACTCTAATTTGGTTGCGTGTGTAAATATCATAATAGAGTACGATGTTTTAACCCCACATGGTTTTTTCTTATTTTTTTATTTTTATTTTTTGCTCATCAATTATTCTGTTAGTACTTTTTTGCGGAGCAAAGAAAAACTTGTGTTAAACTAAAAATAATGGTCTGTACTCTCTCTGGATCTTTCCATAGTAAAGTTTAAAGAAGGAATACACTGCCTCGATATCCGCGCTGGTGATCAACCTAATTTCTTATATGGGAATATGAAAATTGTCTTTTAAATCCCTTTCGCGTTCCAATGACTCTCGGTAGCATGCTGTTTAACATTAGATTAATAAAATATTGAAGACAACAATACGGACAAAAAAGTACAGAAGCCATTAATTAATTGTAATAATGTAACAAAGGAAAAGTCAGATTCGTTTTGAAGCGACTCCTGAGATACCTATCGTCTTGGGAGGAACATATAGGTATAGGTAGGATTAAGAGGTAACTTTTCGAGATTAAAGGCCCGTCAGTGAGTAGGTTGATACAGAGAATTTATACATTGTACTTTGAACCGATTAATTTGAGAACTTATATTGATGTTTGTTAGATTATAAATTTTTGAAAATAGTATTACACCGAGTAAATGTCATGTTAATTAACTGGATAGGTCAACGCATTTAGGCACAATATGAGTAAAGATTTTGCGATTTAAGGTTTCTTCTTTTTCCAGTAATCGGTGCCTTTGGAAGCATTCTTCAGCTGTGGATCCATGTTAACACTATATGCGTCATCCTCTGCCTTTTTAACGTAATTTAGGTTCGAAACAAACGCTCCAACGGACACATGTCATTATATAAGACCGTTTTATGTACTCTTGTTAGTAGGTTA